ATGCCTGTAGTCCCAGCTACACAGGAGGCTGAGGCAGGAGAATCGCTTGAATCCAGGAGGTGGAGGTTGCAGCGAGCCGAGATTGCGCCACTGCACCACAGCCTTAGGGAAAAGAGTGAAACACCATCTCAAAAAAGAAAAAAAAAAAAAAAAAAAGCATCAACACGGGGACAAGACACCCATTGAATGGGACAAAATGTTTACAAACTGTGCATCTTACAGGGGACTAATATTCAGAATATATAAGGAACTCAACAGCAACAACAAAATCACAAATAATCCCATTAAGAAGTGGGCAGAGGGCCTGGCATGGAGGCTTATGCCTGTAATTCCATTACTTTGGGAGGCCAAGGCGGGTGGATCATCTGAAGACAGGAGTTCAAGACCAGCCTGGCCAACATGGTGAAACCCTGTCTCTACTAAAAAGACAAAAATTAGCCGGCATGGTGGTGCACACCTGTACTCCCAGCTTTTCGGGAGGCTGAGGCAAGAGAATTTCTTGAACCCAAGAGACAGGTTGCAGTGAGCCGAGATCACGCCCCAGCACTCCAGACTGGGTGACAGAGCAAGACTCTGTCTAAAAAATTTTTAAAAAGGGGGCAAAGGCCATGAATAAAAACATTTTTCTTTTTCTTTCTCTTTTTTTTTTTTAGAGATGGGTTCTCACTATGTTGCCCAGGCTGGAGTGCAGTGGCTATTCACAGGCGTGGTCCCACTACTGATAAGCACGGGAGTGTTGACCTGCTCTGTTTCCAGCCTGGGCCGGCTCACCCCTCCTTAGGCAACCTGGTGGTCCCCTGCTCCCAGGAGGTCACCATATTGATGCTGAACTTAGTGCAGACTCCCGATCGGCATAGCGCACTACAGCCCAGAACTCCTGGGCTCAAGTGATCCTCCCACCTCAGCCTCCCGAGTAGCTGGGACTACAGGCACGCGCCACCACACCCTGCAAATAAACATTTTTCAAAAGAAGACATGCAAGCTGGGCATGATGGCTCATGCATGTAGTCCCAACATTTTAGAAGGCTGAGGCAGAAGGCTCACTTGAGCCCAGGAGTTCAAGACCAGGCTGGCAACATAGTAAGACTTCAACTCTACAAAAAAAAAAAAAAAAAATGAGTCACGGTAGCATGTGCCTGTAATCCAAGCTACTTGGGAGGCTTAGGAGGTTGAGCCCAGGAGGTTGAGGCTGCATTGAGCCGAGATTGCACCACTGCACTCTGGCTGGGACAACAGAGTAAGACCCCATCTCAAAAATATGTATATAAAGAAGACATGCAAATGGCCAAAATGTGTATGAAGAAATGTTCAACATCACTAATGATCAGAGAAATACAAATGAAAACCAGTGAGATGCCTTCTTACCCCAAAGTGGCTATTATTAAAGAAACAAAAAATAACATGTTGACAGGCAGGGAAATGGAGCCTTACACACTGCTGCTGGGATTGTGAATTGCTACAACCTCTATGGAAAACAGTTTGGAGATTTCTCAAAAAACTGAAAATAAACTGCCATTTGACACACCAGTCCCACTACTGGATACCTATCCAAAGGATAAATAACATATCAAAAAGATACCTGTGGCCATGCACAGTGGCTCACACCTGTAATCCCAGCACTTGGGGAGGCCGAGGTGGGCAGATCACCTGAGGTCAGGAGTTCGAGACCAGCCTGCCCAACATTATGAAACACCATCTCTACAAAAATACAAAAAAAATTAGCTAGGCATGATGGCAGTTGTCTGTAATCCCTGCTACTCGGGAGACTGAGGCAGCAGAATCCCTCGAACCCGGGAGGCAGAGGTTGCAGTGAGCCGAGATGGCACCATTGCACTCCAGCCTGGCAACAAGAGCGAAACTCCATCTGGACAAAAAACAAACAAACAAACAAAAAGCACCTGCACTCATATGTTAATTGCATCACAATTCACAACAGCAAATATATGGCCTTAACCTAAGTGTACATCAGCAGAAGAATGGATAAGGAAAATGTGGCATATGTACACAATGGAGTACTTTTCAGCCATAAAAAAAGAATGAAATTAGGTCTTTTGCAGCAACACAGATGGAAATGGAGGTCTTCAGTAAAATAAGCCAGGCACAGAAAATCAGGTATCCAATCTTCTCATTTATACTAAAAAATGTACACACATGGCCATAGAGAGTGGAATGATACACAGTGGAAACTCAGAAGAGTGAGCGGGGTGGGGGATGGTGGGTACAGTGTCTGCTCTCCAGGTGATAGGTGCCCTAGAAGCCCTGACTAGTCCATTGGGCTCTCTGTGCATGTAACAAAACTGCACACGTACCCCATACATTTGTACCAAAAAAAGATGCAGGTTTATTAATGTGCAGAGTTGTCCACTATACACTATTGAGTGAAAAAAAAGTACCAGGTGGTACATATGAGAAATTATCCTATTTTTGTTTTTAATATAGACATATATAAAAAGTCTATAGACAGTTACTACATTGAAATGGTAACCATAGTTATCATTAGGTCAGAGGTGGTGTTTTCCTAAGTTTTTAATGGGGAATGTTTATGGTATGATAAAAACATTTTTAAAACATATATAGTGTTTTATAATTGAGCTTTAAGAAGTAACTACAGGCCGGGCATGGTGGCTCATGCCTGTAATCCCAGCACTTTGGGAGGCCAAGGTAAGCGGATCACAAGGTCAGGAGTTCGAGACTAGCCTGGCCAACATAGTAAATCCGTCTTTACTAAAAATACAAAAAATCTAAATTTTTTAGTGCCTCTAAAATCTCAGCTACTCAGGAGACTGAGGCAGGAGAATTGCTTGAACCCGGGAGGCAGAGTTTACAGGGAGCCAAGATTGCACCATTGCACCCAGCCCTGTTGACAGCAAGACTCCGTCTCAAAAAAAAAAAAAAAAGTAGATGCTAGGTGCAGTGGGTTATGCCTGTAATGTCAACACTTTTGGAGGCCGAGGTGGGCAGATCATCTGAGGTCAAGATTTTGGGACCAGCCTAGCCAACATGGTGAAACCCCATTTCTACTAAAAATACAAAAATTAGCTGGGCGTGGTGGTGCGCCTGTAGTCCCAGCTACTTGGGAGGCTAAGGCAGGAGAACCCAGGAGGCAGAGGTTGCATTGAGCTGAGATCACATCACTGCTGTCTAATAAAAATGAAGTAATGGCTGGGCGAGGTGGCTCCTGCCTGTAATCCAAGCATTTTGGGAGGCCGAAGAGGGCGGATCATGAGGTCACAAGTTCGAGACCAGCCTGGCCAACATGGTGAAACCATGTCTCTACCAAAAATGCAAAAATTAGCCGGGTGTGGTGGCACACGCCTATAATCCCAGCTGCTTAGGAGGCTGAAGCAGGAGAATTCCTTGAACTTGAGAGGCGGAGGTTGCAGTGAGCCAAGATTGCACCATGGCACTCCAGCTTGGGCAACAGGGTAAGACTCCATCTCAAAAAAAAAAAAAAAAGGAACTAGAAGATTATTGGTGAGTTTAACTCAAATTTAATACCAAATGTTGAGTAGATGGCCACATCCATTCCTTGCCAAGTAATTTGTGTGGCACAGACGAACTTCCCTGGAGTATCATTTACTGGATCAAAATGTGGGCTTTAATGTAAATGTAGTTTACTAGACTTTTCCCCAGTCTTTCCCCCTCTGCCTCAGATCATCACTAATTCGGCCCATCATCGTGCTGTCAGGAAGCACTGCCCCCAGCTGCACGCCCACAGGTGTGTAGGGCAGCTGTTCTGTTTCAGGGTAATCAGTTACACCGTGACCTCCGCCCACACAGATGATTGTTCTTTTTTTGAGACTGGGTCTCGCTGTGCCGCCCAGGCTGGAGTGCAGTGGTGTAGTTACCTCGCTGCAGCCTCAACCTCTCAAGTTCAGTGATCCTCCCTTGAGTATCTGGGACCACAGGCACATGCCACCACACCTGGCTAATTTTTTATGAAACGATTGTTTTTTAAACAGCATTCATTTATCTTCCATATAATCATTATAGACTTAATTCTAATAATTGTCTTATTTATGCCTTCATTTTCAGACTGTAGAATGTGAAGAAGGAAGTGAAGATGATGAATCCCTCCGAGAAATGGTGGAGCTCGCTGCACAGAGACTATATGAGGCCCTGACACCAGTTCACTGAGAACCTATGACCGTATATGTTAAAACTTTAAAAACATACTTGATTCTACTTCTGTTACTTAAATAAAATGCATTAGTTTCTCTGAGGGAGCCTGTTTACTTTTGATGTCAAATGACCTTTATTCCAACAGCCTGAATACTGCTGAATTGCCAACTAATTTGTCCATTATTCTAGAACTAACTACTAAATAAACTGCCCGTTATTTTCGAATGTATAGATTCTTCTTCCAGGCATATGTGCAGCTCCCCCTGAAACCATCCAGATCTGCTGATAGCAACCGCTACTGGCTACCCCTCTCCCTGGAGTAACCAATTTGAGTTCATAAGGATGCTAAGTTGCACTTGAATGTTTCTGTCTTGATCTCCACTGCTGCTGTTCAAGTCCAAGCCTACTCTTCCCTTCTGAATTCCGGCAGCAACCTCCATCTTCTCCCCTACAGCTGATTCCTGGAACAGACCTGGCTTCAAGCCTCTGCTGCTTGAAGGCCTTAATGAAGGCCTTGTGATAAGGGTGAAGTGCAGCCACCCTTGCTTGCTCTACCCCCTGCCGTGGGAATCACGTGGGGTGCATTACAAGTGCACCTGTGTCCAAGTCCTGCTACTAGGAGGTGAGTTAATTGGGCTGGAGCGAGGGCCCTTGGTTGGATCTTGTTTGTAAAGATCGCCCAGGTGATCCAAGCTATTAGATCATGCTCTGCGCCCATCGCCCGCCCCAGGGAGCAGGATCCGCCTCTGCGCCGGCTCCCCAGGCCCTTCTGTTATTCGTCTACAGCTCCGTGGTTTCAAGGCGTCCTTCCCACTCGTTTTTAGTTCGGCCGCTGCACTTCATTGCACAGCTGAGGTAAGAACGTTGCATTGCAACCACGTTTTATTCAACAGATGAATCCCTTGGAAATAAGTCGTGCTCCGTGTCCGCGCATCCACCTAACGGCTGGGCGCTTGGAACGTGCAGCTGCTTTCCCTCGTCATTCGCAGAATCACGAGGTACAGCCCGGGTTTCCGCAGCGCCTACATCCTGCGTATTATGGGCCCTCCAGAGTGACGCCCGGCGCAGGAGGCCGCGCGCGCACCCCACGACCTCTTCCAGGGGGACTGGAGCATCCGGGGGGCCATGGGAACAGCCCCATGCCCCACCGAGGGCCAGCAGCGCTGCCGCCGCGCGTCCTGCGGTCACATTCCTGCCCTTTGCCGAACGCACCTGCGCCCGCCCAGCGCAGGGTGGGCTTAGGGCAGCCCCCCGAACCGATTTCCGTCTGGGACCCACGCGGCGGGGCGCGGGCTCCGGACTCTGGGGGCAGTCTCGCTGTGGGTGAACGATCGCGAAGGCCGAGCTTCTGGCAGACTCCAAGGGGCCACGGGCGTCCCGCCCGCCTAGGTGCCGGACCAGCCAGGCTCCAGCACCCCACAGTCGGCCACTGCGCAGGCGCCTCGCCGGGCTGGTGGCCCCGCCCCGGCCGGCGGTTCCATGGCGCTGTGCGAGGCCGCGGGCTGCGGAAGCGCGCTGCTCTGGCCTCGCGTGCTGCTCTTCGGGGACTCCATCACCCAGGTACCGCCGCCCGGACGCTCAGCCTCTCGCCCTGGCCTCCCTGCGGAGTTGCTGCCCAGCCGGCCGGGGCTCCTCGCCGTCCTCTGCGGCCCAGGAAACGGCTGGGACGGAAGCCTGGCCACGCCCGTGGCGACCCTGGAGGGGCGGCGGGTCCCCCAGTGGCTGCGCCTTGCCGGCCTGCGGCATCCCGGAGGCCAAGACGGTCCTTGCGAGAGCCTGGGCTCCCGGCACAGACGCGAGGGGACCTGGCCGCGCTGCTCGCCCCGCGCCGCGTGCCACCTGCCACCTGGGTCGAGATGTGCGGTCGTCCCCTCCGTGCTGTCCTGGGCGGCGGCGGTTCCCGTCCGGGTCCGGGCGAGCGGCTCCGGGCACCCGCGCGTTGTGTCCCAGGAGGCCCCGCGGCCGGCCGCAGGCGGAGGCGCTGTGAGCCCGCTCGCCTCACTCCCCGCGGACGCAGGTTGGGGCCGTCAGAGGGTGACGTTAGAAGTAAAATGCCTTCAAGAATTAGGTAGAAAAGGACCATCGATTCATCCCAGATCTCACCTCCCGTGAAGGGAACGGTCTTCTAAATGCAGGTTCTTCAGGGAGGGAGTGGAAAGTCCATTCCTGTGTGTGTCCTCTTCTCAGGACTTGCTTCACCAGGATTTGTGTATATGCCAGTAACTGGCAGCATTACTTTTAGTGGGGCAGTCAGGGCTTCCCGAATTGCACGGGAATGTGTATGAGAAATGTTCAACCTCTGCTCAATAACCAGCGAGGCAGCATGGACTTCATTTCCTCATTGGACTTGTAGTTGACTTTATCTCCTGAACTTGGATTTCTGTTTAGCTTTTTTTTTTTCTTTGAGACGGAGTCTCGCTCTATCGCCCAGGCTGGAGTGCAGTGTCGCGGTCTCGGCTCACTGCCACCTCCGCCTTCCGGGTTCAAGCGTTTCTTTTGCCTCAGCCTCCTAAGTAGCTGGGATTATAGAGGGGCGCCACCACACCGGGCTAATTTTTGTATTTTTAGTAGAGACGGGGTTTAACACGTTGGCCAGGCTGGTGTCGAACTCCTGACCTCAGGTGATCCACCCACCTGGGCCTCCCAAAGTGCTGGGATTACAGGCTGTTTAGCTTTCAATTGATAGAGAAAAATCCCTCTGCTAAAGTGCTGCCAGGTGTACTTACCTGTAATCCCCAGAATGACCTCCCCAGAGTGAATCAAGGCACAAAAGCCAAGAAGGGAGGGCAGAGAAAACAAAAGGCATTGCGGATCAGAACTGCCCTTGCTGAAATGACCGGTCAGTCATTTGTAGTAATAATGGGCTTTTCTTTCTCCAGTTTTCCTTCCAGCAGGGTGGATGGGGAGCTTCGCTGGCTGACAAGCTGGTCAGGTGAGAATGGTTTCCGATACTTGAGTACTTATAGATGGGGGGAAGATGTCATTATCTTGGGAAGAGAGAGTGACGGGTAGTTCTGAACAGAACATTTCTCCTTTGTGAATTTTGCTTGCCTTTCGTAGTGTATAGGAGAAGGAACAGAAAACATTTAATCTTCACTCCGTCTGACCAATTAGATATTTTAGGGTTGAGCTCTGATGACTGGGTAGACTCAAATTAAGTAGATGGCCAATGCCTCTTTGCTAGTCAAGGGAACACAGATGCAAGTCCCAGCCGCTGTGATCGCAGAACTTGCAGTTTTACTGCTACACCACACTGGCAGGAAGCTACTTTGTCTTTTTTTTTGGAAGTGCTGCTGTGACTAAGACCCACCTTGTCACAATTCCACCACACTTCGTTTTTTTGTTTGTTTGTTTTTGTTTTGTTTTTGAGACGGAGTTTCACTCTTGTTACCCAGGCCGGAGTGCAGTGGCGCGATCTTGGCTCACTGCAACCTCTGTCTCCTGGGTTCAAGCAATTCTCCTGCCTCAGCCTCCCGAGTAGCTGGGACTACAGGCGTGCGCCACCACGCCCAGCTAATTTTTGTATTTTTATTAGAGACGGGGTTTCACCATGTTGGCCAGGATGGTCTCGATCTCTTGACCTCGTGATCCACCCATCTCGGCCTCCCAAAGTGCTGGGATTATAGGCGTGAGCCACTGCGCCAGGCCTCATTTTTTGTGGTTTTTGAGACAGGGTCTCTCACCTAGGCTGGAGTGCAGCAGTGTGATCAGGGCTCACTGCAGCCTCGACTTCTGGGGCCCAAGCCATCATCCCACCTCAGCCTCCTGAGTAGTTGAGGCCTACAGGCATGCGCCACCACACCCAGCCCAGCACTTCATTTTAAAGTATTGTAATTTCAATCTGTAAAAAGACTAGTCAGCATTTCATAATCATTACACACAAAAACAATCTTACTTAGAAGTAAGGCTGAGTTTCACTTGTTCCCCACTTTTTAAATGCTGCCTGAGAACTCTTGAGTAGTGTCACAAAAAGCGTCCCCTTGTGCTGCTTTGGAGCCCACTGCCTGATGGTGTGGCCTGCGCTTCCCCACTGGTGCCTCAGCTTCTCTGCTTACTTACACATCTGTAGGAATTTGAACCATACACCAAAATGAACTATACTGATTTGCTAATCATAAATTGAACCACCAGGATTCATTTTAAGAAAACTTTACGGACAACTTTAAACATCTACAGAATCCAAGAGTGAAATGGGCCCGTCCATGCCTCCTACTATGGATTATTCTAAAACAAATCCCAGATCATATCGTTTTACCAAGACTAAGAAAAAAAAAAGTCCCTCTTACGTGACTGGTACCATCTGAGGAGTTTTAAATCTGCCTGATGCAATCCTGAACTGGGATTCCCCTCACTTTACATGTGAGGGAGGAGTGGCATGTCCAGGGTCACGCCTAGTCAGATGGAGCTGGGAAACAAGTCAGGCAACCTGGCCTTTTTTCTTTTTTCATTTCACCTACAGTACTGTGAATCCAACTGTTTTTAGGAAGGAAACAAGCCTATGAACTGGTTTAAGTTGAAACCAACTAATATATTTATTAAAACTAATCAAAACTAGAAATCTCAAATATTCCATAGACTATTTAAATAGGTGGTTTTTTTGGGGTTTTGTTTGTTTGTTTTGTTTTGTTTTGAGATAGTCTTGCTCTGTCGCCCAGGCTGAGAGTGCAGTGGCACAATCTCAGTTCACTGCAACCTCTGCCTCCCGGGTTCAAGCGAGTCTCCTGCCTCAGCCTCCCGAGTGGCTGGGATTACAGGTGCCTGCCACCACGCCCAGCTAATTTTTGTATTTTTAGTAGAGATGAGGTTTCACCATGTTCGTCAGGCTGGTCTTGAACTCCTGATCTCGTGATCCGCCCACCTTGGCCTCCCAAAGTGCTGGGATTATAGGCGTGAGCCACTGTGTCTGGTCTATTTAAATAATTTTGTTTCTGAAACTAAACTATTTAAGTTCCAGCATATTGGTAACTTTTTACCTGAGATACTTGCTCAGATTATCAACTGTCTGTTGTGAACTCCATTTTAAAAGCACCCCACTATACCATGTCTGAAGTCAGGTAGTCTGCAGACTTAATCACAGCCCCTTTATATATAATTACTTATGATTTCTCAGAGGAGTATGGCGTATTTACCTGTATCTTTGGCTTAAGGAAGATTAGCATGCTTCAACTATGTACTTGCTTCTTTCAAAGTGAAACCTGGGGCGGCCTCAGACACGTGATGGGCTGAGAATCCAGAGAGCACACCCTCACTAAAGGTCAGTTACTGGGACCATAAACACTTCTTTCCCACAATTCATCTTTTTAAATTTTTCATTTCAGAAAATGTGATGTTCTGAATCGTGGATTTTCAGGTTATAATACCAGATGGGCCAAAATTATCCTTCCAAGATTAATCAGGAAAGGAAACAGCTTGGACACCCCAGTAGCTGTTACAATTTTCTTTGGGGCCAATGACAGTGCACTAAAAGGTAAAGGCATTTTTGTGTTCTTCTAGCTCACTTTAATCATTTTTATGTTGCAGCAAACTTCCATGTAATATACTTTTTTCAACTGTATACTTTCTCCCAATAGATAGTTTTGCCAAACTTCAGAGCTCCTTGAGTTTACATGTATTTCTGGCTTTAAAACCAGTGGATTTTATTCTCAGCTCAGTTTCTACATGCCTCGGTTGCTGGCAGTCCTAATCTTGCAAACACTTAAATATTTTCTAGAGTCTGTTAGTGCTGTGCTAAGTTTTTAATGTTTCTCTCTTTAGTTGATGCATTTGCAGCAGAAGGCTTAAGTATACCTGTGGTTTGCATGACACTGAGGCAGCTGGGGGAGTGTCTTAGGAGGTGTATCTCAGGGCAGCAGCCACCCTGACCTAGGTTAGGCTTGAATCCTGGGCGATGGTGAACGTGGGTTTGGAAAAGGAGGTGGACTCTCCTTGTTTGCTGAAGAATTGCTGCTGTGACTAAAGCAAAGCCAGCCATGTAAGAGGCCTTTCTCTCTTCCCGTTCTACTCTTGAACTTTCTGCATGCTATAAACGAGCAAAGTCAGCCTTTGTTTTAGGGAGTTAGGTAGTCACCTTCCAGAGATTTCTTTTGTGCCCCTACATGTGTCACAGAAGTGGTGTGGCCAGCTATTTATAGGCACAGTGAGGGGGACCTCTAAGGTGAGGCTGGACATGAAGGAACACCAGCTGCAGTAAGGAATTCTTGCTCCCCGGAGAAAGATTCTATAGATTACAGGTATCAGTAGAGGCTGCATGCTAACCATTACATTGGGGAAGAAATTAATCTTCGCTTTATATCTTGCACCAAAAACTCTAAGAAAACTCAAAACAGAATTTTTTAAAAAGATAAATTTCACCAAATTTAGGATAAAAACACTTCCTAAGTATAAAAGCAGTGGAGGAAGCCACAAAGGAAAAACAGGGTTACGAAATAAATTTAAAATAGCTTAGGTTAGAAAAAACTGTGTTAAGGAAAATATCTGAAAATTGTGACAGACAAAAGAGTAGTATCTTTGGTGTAGAAATCAAGACAAATACTCCAATAGAAAACATGGGCAAAGGACAGGAACAGATAAAAGGAAAGATTTTAACAGCAAATACATATTTGAAAATGTGTGAAAACTTATCAAAAAATACCAATTAAAACAAGATATTTTGATTTTTGACTCACAAAAGCAGTATGAAGCAATAATGCTTAGCTGACAGGCATGAAATTAGATTGGAACTCTTCATTCCTTGAGGGAGAAGAGCTAATCCTTCTGGGAACCTGTGCAGCAGCAGCGTTAAGTGACTGCCCACATGTAGAAATTCAACCTAAGGAAGTATTTCAGAAATGCAGGCAGATATGTGTGCAGAGATTTCTGTGTATTGCTATTTTTTTGAGATGGAGTTTTGACCTTTCGCCCAGGCTGGAGTGAAGTGACACGATCTCAGCTCACTGCAACCTCCACCTCCCAGGTTCAAGCGATTCTCTGCCTTAGCCTCCTGAGTAGTTGGGATTCAGGCACACGCCACCATGCCCAGCTGTTTTTGTATTTTTCGTAGAGACGGGGGTTTGCCGTATTGGCCAGGCTGGTCTCAAACTCCTGACCTCAGGTGATCCACCTGCCTCTACCTCCCAAAGTGCTAGGATTTCAGGTGTGAGCCACCGCGCCCAGCTGTGTATTGCTATTTAAAACAGCAGATTAGAGGCTGTACAGTAAGGAAACAAACTTCATGTGGTCACCCTACAACTACATATCGTTTTTTTGAGGACTATTTATGGACACAGAAAAGCTCATAATACGTTATATGAGCCAGGCATGGTGGCTTATGCCTGTAATCCCAACACTGGGAGGTGAGGCCAAGGTGGGAGGATTGTTTGAGACCAGCCTGGGCAACGGAGTGAGACCCTTGTCTCAACAACAGCAAAATTTGCCAAGTGTGGTTACACATGCCTGTAGTCCCAGCTACTTGGGAAGCCGAGGTGGGTGGGTCGCTTGGGCCCAGGAGTTCAAGGTTACAGTGAGCTGTGATCACACTACTACACTCCAGCCTGGGAGATGGAGCAACAGCCTGTCTCTAAAACAATCTGTAGAAAAAATATATATAAGTCTTCAATGTGAATATAATCTTCAGTGCAAACTCATTTTTATTTAAAGTGTACATATCTTCATGAAAAGACTGGAAAGATATACATCAAAATGCCAACAGTGGTTTTCTGGGTGGTAGGACCATTGGTGACTTTATTTTCTTTACATGTACTTACATGTGGTTAGCAAATGGCCTACAGTGACCCTTGTAATACTTGAGAGAGCCTATCTAGAAAATACTCCTTTGCAATAATAGAGGTTGTAGTCATGGGTGCCATTTGTTTAGACTGAGTGCTTGCTTTGTGAAGGCACCCTGCTCAGTGCTGGAAACTCTTAGCTATTTTGATTTTCAGTCCTAGGAGGGAGACCCTATTATCGTCCTCATTTTACCAATAAGGTACAGAAAGGCTAAGTATTTATCTGCGGTTCTGTGGCAAGGAGTGACAAAGCCAGGATTCGAACCTAGGCCATCTCTCTCAACAGGCTGGGCTCTTGAATTTCTTTACAAATTCAACCTCATTGATTTAATAACCATCTGGATACTGGTGACGAAAAGACAAGAGTACTTTGGCTCACACCTGTAATCCCACCACTTTGGGATCCGCCAAGGCGGGCGGATCACGAGGTCAAGAGATCGAGACCACAGTAAAACCCCGTCTCTACTAAAAAATAGAAAAATTAGCTGGGCGTGGTGGTGCACACCTGTGGTTCCAGTTGCTTGGAAGGCTGAGGCAGGAGAATTGCTTGAACCTGGGAGGCAGAGGTTACAGTGAGCCGAGATCGCGCCACTGCACTCCAGCCTGGTGCCTGGCAACAGAGCAAGACTTTGTCTCAAAAAAAAAAAAAAAAAAAAGTACTTAGAGTGTCCCTAGTCAGAGCCTTTGAAGTCTTGTTTATGAAGAACTATACATTTTAATTCATTAAGGAGAAAACCTTCACTTTGTGTCCTTGGTGTTAAACAATTCCCCGGTGACATCATGAATAGCAGGCATTTGCAGAAGTGTGTTCACCTCAATTGTCGTCACTTACAATAAATACGCATTTGGTGAGTACTCATGTTTCTCCTGAACAGATGAGAATCCCAAGCAGCACATCGCCCTGGATGAGTATGCTGCAAATTTAAAGAGCATGGTGCAGTACCTGAAGTCTGTGGACATCCCTGAGAATCGAGTCATTCTCATCACGCCGACCCCACTTTGTGAAACAGCCTGGGAAAAACAGTGCATCATGCAAGGTAAACAAACCACAGCCAATCTCAGCAAACCTGGATAGGAACACTGAAGGAAGAACTGATAGGCAGTGGTTTCCTGCCTGGGGGCTTCTGTTTCTTAGGGTCTCTGTATGTCCGTTTCAGTGTTTCAATCATGCAAAGTTATTAATAAAAGTACAGCTTCCATTTTGTTATACCTGATCCCTTTTTTGACATAGGAAAGGGGTTCTGGCTTCAGATAGTCAGGAGGGAACCACAGGCCTCACATCTGCTGACCTTTACAATTGCCAAACTCCAGGGCGCACGTGCAGCCCAGTGAGAACTGTGCAGAGTTGTGGTGCTCTGTGGGGGGCTGGGACTAGGAGGTGCTCTGTGGGGGCTGGGACTGGGGGGTGCTCCGTGGGAGTTGCGACTGGAGGGTGCTCCGTGGGAGCTGGGACTGGGGGGTGCTCCGTGAGGGCTGGGACTGACTGGGAGGTGCTCTGTCGGCTGGGACTGGGGGATGCTCTATGGGAGCTGGGACTGGGGGTTGCGCTGGGGGCTGGGACTGGGGGGTGCTCTGTGGGGGATGAGACTGGGGTGCTCTGTGGGGGGTGGTACAAGCGGGGTGCTCTGTAGGGGCTGGGACTAGGGGTTGCTCTGTGGGGGCTGGGACTGTAGGGCTGCTGTGCCTTGACTCGGAAGTCCACACCTGGGGCTTTTTTTTCTGGCCTATGGGAGCTGGGATGGGGATGATGGGATAGGAGTCACTAGCACTCTGGGTACTCAGGTTTCACATCCCTCAAGTGCTGTGTTTTTGAGCCACCTTTGGTTGAAAAACCTGCATAGAAGCAGACCTTCACGGTTCAAACCTGTGTTGTTCAAGGGTCAGCTGTATGTTAATGGCTGAAAAATGTGCCTTATGGAAGTTTTCTAAACTGCCCAGAACTCAACGTTCTCGGACAAATATTGGCCTTGCCACACAGAACAGCTATTTCTCAAAGCATAGTCTGACTCAAATAGTATTTGTAGGTAGATTTCTGGGCCCATTTTCAGCACTCCAGATGTTTCTTAGACACACTACAGCAGGCGTACCGCAACTTTATGGAAGACTGTTATTGTCCCTACTTTACCAGTGGAGAAATTGAGTCTTAGAGAGGTTAAGTAACTGCCCAAGATCACACAGCCAATGACAGAAGCAGGAATCAAATCCAGTAGCTTGACTTCAGAGCTCAAGTACTTACCATTACACAAGTTTACTGTTGAGTTGGGTTGTAGCTATGTCCCCTGCTCTCAAAGGGCCTCTCATCCTTAGAGGAGAACCCAACGCATTCTGAAGCACACACAGCATATGTCAAGGGGTGCCACACACTGGAGGCAAAGACAAACTTGGGGAGAAACCCCAGCTTGTGGGGCATGGTGGCAGCAGGCTCTAGGCATCGCATCAGGGTAGATGGCCCTTAATGCTGTGCATGAGATACCAGAGTGTTCTGCAGGAAGGCGTAAAGGCCCACAAAGCTCCACTGGAGACAACTCCAGACCCCCTAGCTTGCTTCTGGGCCTGCAGCCATAACTGATTTGGGGGGCAGTGTTGTCTTGGCTTTAATAGAAAGGGATGAATGTTATATAGCTTGGTCCACAGAAGCTGTTTAGACTTCTTTTTGTTTACTGTTTCCTAGGGAAAGAATATATGACATTCTGAATGTTTAATTTCATTTCCTCTTTCCATCCTTGAATGTAGCCCAGTGTAGACTTTTTAAAAACTCAGCAATGAGCAAAGCAGGTAGAGGAGAGGTTACATCTCAATAACTGGTCCCCTAGAAATTCAGCTGGTTATTTTTTAGACGGTCTTGCTGTCACCCAAGCTGGAGTACAGTGGCTTGCTCATAGCTCACTGCAGCCTCAGCTTCTGGGCTCAGGTGTCCTCTTGCCCCAGCCTCCCAAGTAGCTGGAACCACAGGCATGTGCCACCATGCTCAACTAATTTTTAAAAATTTTTTGTAGGAATGAGGTAGCTAGTTAAAATCCAGGTGAATTTTAGAAATGAACAATTGATCCCATGTATGAATCAAAACTGGCAAATAGTTTCTTCTCTGACATAGAGCCTGGGCCAGCACAGGTCCTCCTGTGACCATGTCCAGTTGCCCATTTTCCTCATGCTTTCTCTTTCATATGATTCTGTAGTCTGCCTCCCGCCAGCCCTCACTGTCCTGTTTGCAGCCTCCTGAGCCTTCTCACCTACCCCTGGCCCCTCCTTCCAAACTAACCTGGCACAATCCCCAGATACCTCACTCCAGCCTTCCCTAGTGCAGCTCCCTGGGAAGAGGAGGCAGCCTGCGCCTGTATTAGATACACCCAATTGCTCTGTGCTGGCTGCTCTGCTGGAGTTTAGTCTCAGTCCTGTCAGTATTCCTGCAATTATGTAGGCACAGTCATCACAGGCATGTGGAAAGCTTCAGGACAGTTAAGAAAGCTGTACAGTCACACAGCTATGTAGTGAAAACTGTGGGCATCAGAACATAGCTATCTGTATCCGAAGTCTATAAATTATTTTGCTGTGCTGCGGTGCAGCTGTTACATGTAAGAAGCCAGTGGTGTCAGCACAGCCTTCAGCCTCCGTGGCCTGGCATTTCTTACCAGCCCAGCTCCTATAGCTGGCACTCTCCTAGCAGCCCAGCTCTCTTGGTGCCTTCTTCAAGGTGCCCTCTAGAACATCCTCCCTGACTCCTCAGAAGGCTCTGGTTACCACTAAAGGCTCCTTCTTCCCATTGTACCTTGTACTCTGCTGGCTAGAGCAGCACACCAGTAACCTGCACGGCCTATCAACATATACCCCAGACCCCGGGGCTGGCCCAAGTGAGGTCAGTATTTAATGGCACTTGAAACTGTCTAGATGAGTAGAGCAGAACTTATACAAGGACCAGCACTTGGGTTTATCAACTGCCACCTTGATTTCTTCTCTCCAAAAGGTTGCAAACTAAATCGCCTGAACTCTGTTGTTGGTGAATATGCCAATGCGTGTTTACAAGTGGCCCAAGACTGTGGGACTGACATACTTGACCTGTGGACCCTGATGCAAGATAGCCAGGTATGGTGGCTTGCTCAGTCCTCTCGAGGTGAATAGGATCCCACAGAAGTAAACCAGGTGTGTGTGCAGCTTTCCCTAGAAAGGTCCTGCTTAGCTAAAACAGTCATCCCTTTAGCCAATGGAAACAAAAAGGCTTGGGGAGGGAAGGAATGGAGGTTCCAGGATGGCTCGCAAGCCCAGCAGCTTATTTGGCCAGGCTCCTTGGCTGGTAGTACACAGTGATGTAAATAAGCAATACGTGGCTCCTATTTATGAACATCCAGGCCAAGTTCTTCTTTCATATAGAGAATGGCAGAAATCTAAAACTTGTTAATATGTAAAACAGTGGATCTGAATATACTATTGCTTGATAACTCAGTTTGAGATATGTAGTTTTAATTAAGTTACTTTTTTTTTTTTTTTTTTTTTTTTT